ACACACACACACACACACACACACACACACACACACACACACACACACACACACACAGTTAATGCTTGGCTAAGTGCATGTGGCCTCACTTGCACTGTGAGGACATCATATTACAGTGCACACACACACACACACACACACACACACACACACACACACACACACACACACACACACACACACACACCCCTCCCCTTTCTCCAGCCTCTCGATCAAATTGGCAGCAGGCACATCGGAGGCCGGCATTGCGATGCATGTGAATAATTTAGTCGCAAAGGATGCTTCTAGACTCTTTTGAAGTGGACCGACTCCACTCCAGCGCCCGGTGGCGTAGCGTCGTCTGCGCCGGAGGACGGCGAGCACAAACGCGGCGGGCGTTTAAGAGCACACTTTGAAGGGCACACATTGATCATCTCTTGGCTAAGGCCTATTTCAAATCTTTCTGTCAAATCCCATTGGACTGACATGTCTTCGAGCTGCACATCCTCCTACCTTTGCTTATGTAATCATTCTCCTTCGCCCAATTTTTACTTCCTTCCTTTCCCTCTTCCTTCTTTCTGAGTTCACTCTCCCTCCTCCGAGTCCTCACTCCCCGCTGCTGCACCCCCCTCCCGGAATCGGTCTCTAAATGGATTGGAATGGGAGTGTCACAACAGGCAAGATGCGAGGAATGGTGATGGAATTTGTCTCAAAAGCGAGGAACACTGACGACAGGAAACGAAAAGCCTGACCTACATTTACAACCTAAATTCTAATCTGTGTTTGGTTAAATTGTATTCCATTCCGAGTCCGTCCTCCCCGTTTTGAAACGTTTCTCTGCTTCCGGCACAAGAACGTGGACGTAACTTACTTCGCCCAATCACATTTCAGCCTCTGTGTGTTGCCACGTCTATCTAATCTGCCCGGAGCCTTTAGAATCAGTTAGGCTGGCCCATTTAACTTCAATTATACGAGCAACTGGAAGAGTTTCCTGAACCAATCCGATTTCAAATGAGCTCTCAATAACGTCAGCATTCCGACGCATTCAGCACAATTGAATACATTTCATCACCAGCATGTCCGGGAAGCATGAAGTGTTTTTTTGTTTTTCCAACGTTTGATGTCTTTGTCAGGTTCTGACTTAAATATGGATTGTTATGTCCACATCCAGTGAATCCGGGCGTACATCTGCGATTCACGCGCACTCCACGCGCTTTGTGATTACGGCACGGCGGCCTTCTTCTGTCTCCATCTTCACACCGCTTCCGCTGCCGAGGTGTGACTGGAGCAGCTATAATTAGCAAATCCCGGCTTGTGGGCGGCCAATAAAGTGACGATCTGGAAAACGGGCTGCCGAGGCGGCGTGCGAAGAAGGCCGAACGTTGGGAGGTTCTTCTCATTAACTCTTGCCGACGTCATTGAGGAACATCATGTTCATTTTTTTTTTCCTTTGTAGCACCAAAATGCTCATCATCAAGACGCCAATTGTAATATAATGAATGAACGACTGCACTGCACTTTGGCGCCTGACTATTGACGAAAGGTAAATGAGATAAGTGCTTGAGTGGCGAGGCTGGAGGATGAGACCATAGTCCACGCTGCGCCGGCCCAAAACAGGAAGCGAGGGTAATCGTGGCCCACTCCATCGCATGCATTAGGCCTGCCCTTGCAAGATGGCAAGTGAGGAGTGGTGCAACCGAGTCAGAGGCAGGATTTAAACAACCAATTGTCTGCAATAAAGTTTGCATTTTCCATTTGCAATCAAGCAGCATTTTTGGCAAATTGTGAACAGTTCATTAAAAAAAGGACTTTTTGAGCTGTTGACTGCCACACCCGGTTCAAGTTTACTGTCAAACTAAACATCAAACAAAGAGACTTATGCGTTGTGTATTTAAAACCATCAAACCTTGAGACCTGGAAAAATGAATGGACCATACACCACTGACACTCGCATCAATATTTGCACTTCAGATATTTACAGGCATATTTTCTTCATTCGCCATAAAAATGACGAATTTCGCAGCAAATGACTCAGTAGCAGTCCTGTGGATACGCTGAAAAAAAAAAAAAAAAAGATCCTTTGGATTTACTTATTTCCAACTTGTACGTGATTAAAATGTGGTAAGCGGTGGAATTTTCCTGTGTTTTCCTCAAAAATATGCAAATTATATCTTTTAGTTCATTACCTATTGTTTTGCAACTGATAATCAAGTACTTTTTTTTCCCACTGAGTAGGCGTGTCTTCCTCATTTGTGTCTGCATGACTGTATGACAAACTACTGCCCCCTGGTGGTCAAATCAGGCACACCAGAAGGAGCAGACTATCGGATGTAGCATGAAATCATGAAGGGGAAAAAAAAACAACACTTTTGTGCTTTACATCCCATTTGCAAAGATGCAAAAAGTCACAAAGATGACTCGATTCACCAACAACTAATCGAGTGTGAAATGAATTGAAAACACAAACTTTTTTTTACATTTACAACTTTTCAAAGTGAGTATTTTTGCGCTGATTCCTAATCTGCCCTCATTTTTTCTCTCTAGCAGAATCAGGTTTTCATAACAATAATAATAAAATAATATAAAAATAAGGATAATATGTCATATTCATTAATTAAAGGTTATGTAACAGGCGGATACGTCATATTTAAAAATTTAGAACGTATGGTTAAAATCTGTATTGCGGGAGCTTTTAAAAAAGAAAATATCTGCAAAACCTCATCTGCCAGGAACAAAGTCAAGTCGTTTTTTTTTTATCAGTTTTTTTTATTCAGTGCCGTCTCTGATGAAAATTTAAAATTTGCCATTGACCAGTGTAATTATTTTTGATAATCAATTAATCGTTTTGATATCCTTTTTCATTTAAAATTGACCAGAGGCTCAGAATGTCAACTTGTCAACAGCAAATATTCTCGAATTTCCGTAGTCCTCCATGAAAGCAGATTTATTTTCTTTGTGTTGATCAAATACATTTTGGAAAACAACGATCAATATTTTGGGCTCCTGGCATATGATGGTCCAAAACAGTCACTGGATCACAATTCATTTTCTGCACTGTCAATTTCAAATGCGATGGAAGTGAAAATGTTTTCATCCGATTCATTGATGATTAGACAAAATAGTCAACAAATTAAAAAAGGTTTTCATAAAGTACGAGATGAGAGAGTGCAATTTTTTTTCCTGATTAAAAACCAAAACAACAAATGGGCTGGAACAGATTTGAAAAAGGGGAGTCTGATCAATGCGCTTTTCTTCCAATTAAGTTCAGTGGCGAATCTCAACTTTTCGGCTGCGGGAAGTCTCAAAGGCCAAATGTGTCAGCAATAGGTCGTCGCTCCGATTGGATACGCGCATCGTGTTTTTCATGTGATCAATTTATCCGGTGCTGGCCGATCGACGGGCATGGACATCAAAGACCACCGCATCGTCGTTTACTGTGCGCGAGTGTCCTTGAGCCGACGCCGCGAGGCTTCGCTTTTCAATGACGCGGCGTCCGCGGAAAGGTGAGTGCGCAACTCGTCCGCGTCCTCACCTGCTCTCGTCCGGAGCCTTCCTCCAAAATGGGCTCTTGTGCGGCGGCCCTCTCCTCCTCCGTCCGCATCTTCCCTCCTGCCGCTCCTCGCCTCCTCCCACCCTCTACAAGCGGCCACAGGCGGCGGCCGCGGCCGCGTCCGAAGGCAGGCTGCACCGCCTCCCGGGTGGAGCAGCGGGCTCGGTCACTTCGGTCTCCCCATCCGCCGCAAGACGGTGTCCGGTTTCACGATGGCGGCGCCTGTGGCAAACGGGCATCGTCGAGTCCGCCTCTTGGACCTCAGGGATCCTCGGCCGGCTCGTCCATTCGGCTTGGTGGGAAGGGGATAAAAAAAAAAAAGTCACGCGGCGGGTGGCGCAAAGATGACAGATAGCGCCGCAAAAGCGCAGACGCCGAAGACGACCGTGAGCGCCGCTTCTGATTTTGCACCTTGTGCGCTTCTCTGACGTCATCGCCGTTCCACACACGGAGGCGCGCGACACCCCCTCCCCCGCCGTGCGCGCGCAAGGAGCACGCGGAAGACGATTGCGTCGTTTGTTACCTTTGCGAGGGTGTCTTGCTTTCTATTGCTGTACACCCGACACGTTTTCAGCATGCCTTCTTCTGTCCCAGTAGAAATACGCTTCAAATAGGGATGACTGAGGTGCGTTTGATGATATTTGCTGCAGTCGATTAGGGCAGACAGTTTAAAAGATGGACTAAACAGAATTGTGCTGAAACGCCGAGTGCGGTGGTATGCTGAGTGAGCAGAGAGTGAATATAGGTTGCGGTCTTGCCAATGACTGATTTAATACCTTGATATCCTGGAACTTTTTTTACAACAGTATTTTATTTTTTTGTCTCTCTAGTTTAGCTGGCATTGTAGGCTTCACCCCAGTAGGATAACAGTAGTACAGTATTTTGGTAAAATAACATTGCATTATATGAAGCTTGCGGCTTCCCCGGTGCTCCCGTTGATTCAAATGATGACGAGGAGACAATTTTATCCAAAGAGCATCCGATAAATGACAATTTAAGTCACAAAACAGAGACACACACCCACACGAAGTTGAACACTGTTTTTAGTTGAAACAGACTTTCCATTCAGCTTTTGTGGTGGATTGATGTGTTCTTCACAGACTCGCTGTGCGTTTATGGTGCCCTGTAAAAAAAAAGGAAAAATTACTCCATGCGTAAAATGGTGTATTCCTGGGTTTTGGTCGACCTTGCGCACATGTGCCTGTGTTTGCAGCAGCCGCGGGCCCTCGAGAGCTGGGCAGGTTCTGCCCGAGCCCCTGGCATGCTGGGAGGCTGCAGGACTGTTTGGGGGCCCCGGAGTGTCTCCTGCTGTATGAAGTGGGGTGATCTCTCATCCAAATGTCATAAAAGATCTCAGGAAGGATGGGTACATTAGTCAAGGATGTTGCGACAAGCTTTGTTTGTTGTGAACACGCTGATTGATCTCAAATTGGTGCCTCAGTCAAAATAATGGAAATTTTTTTTTTTTTTTGAGAGAGAGAGAAAAAAGCAATGAGAATTAAGTCAAACCCGACCTTGTGCCCTTCACAATGTACAGTTCATGTTTAAGCTTGGACGGTGTTGGGCCGCACATATTCGAAGGATATTGGCCGTGACAGGCAAATAGAGGATGTCGGTCTCCGTGGGGATGATAATATCCTGGGAGATGTACTTGGCGGGATCCATGTAGCCCTCGTGTGCCTCGCACATGGCATACAGCTCGATACTCAGCTCAACATGCAAACCTGCCGGCACCTAGACGGACGCAAAGAGAGACGGACAGAGCGCATGCGTTTAAGGAAGTGCTCACGTCGTCGTTTTTCAACTTACAGGTCCCGGCTGGTACTTGACACGTAGACCTGACGAGATCGGAGGCTGTTTCACGTGGAACCTGGAAGAGAAGCCGAGCGGCGAGCCAGCTAGTAGCGAGCGCGACCTCAACGCCACATTGGAAGGCGTCTCACCGACGCTTTGGCGCCATCTCACCTGCAGGTGTCGACACCCACGTTCTTCATGACCACCGTGACGAGTGAGAACGTGCCATCCCTTTGCCAGCCAAAGTCGACTCTGGACGGGCGCAGCTCAAAGCCTCTGGTTATAACATTCGGGTCAGCCAGTGAAATGGTGCGACACCTGCGCCGCACTGGCTCCTCCACAGAGCGGAACTGGGGATGGATTCAAAAACAAAACAAAACAAAAAAAAAAGCAAGGTGTGCAGAACAGTTTTTTTTTCCCAGAGTCGACTAGCGACTGAGTCAACTAGTCGACACGTCAACTTTACCGATGCTAAAGGTGATAATAGTTTGAAGTTGATTAATCGGCAATCGTATTCTGGCATGAACAACATAGATGCCTCACTGAAATGAACAGTGCTAGCAACGCCACGGTTGTGCTATGCTAACAGCTCTCGGGGTTTCCTAAATTCCAGCTGTCTGCGAGGCAGTGAAGTGATTTGAGTGTGCCCCGGATGGGCCAGCGTCTGGCTTACGTGATGATTGGGCACACTGAAGGGTTTGGAGCTGGTGATTGAAGGTGGAAGTCTGACGTTCGTCCGCCTGGGCTCGCCAATTACATTCACATGGACCGACTTCCGAAGCCTGGAGGAGTCCGGCCGACAACCAAGAGCCGCTATGGACATACAGCGCACTCTCGAGTCATATTCATATCCAAGTTCCCGCTGAAATTCACGAGCAAGTACCTGGTGCAGTTGGAGGCGTGATGCCAGGCATCCTGCTGCTCCTCACGGCTGCGTAACTGAGCACGGACACAGACGGCTCACGTTAGCTTCTTCTCATGAGGTGACCTGACAGTCTGACTGGCAAACCTGGCAGAATAAGAAGGTCTCGGGTCCGAGGGCCGTGGCGCTACAATGTCATCTAGATCAGAAAACGCAATGCATGTTTTTGTGAGGGGAGCAGCACAAGATGCACCCAGAAATGATCATTCGGAAAGATTCCAAGAATCTAACAGTGATATAATCCTGCAGATTTACGAGACTCTTCTGGTCGGATGTCCCTCTGGAAGGCTTCTTCCGTATCGTCCGACTCGCTGAAGGTTGGGTCGCTCAAGATTGGCCTCCTATTTTCTGGACTTCCACGGAGATGATGATTCTGGAACACAATCAAATTGCAAGTAAACACTAATGTACCCTCTATGAGTCAACTATTCATTTTGATTGTCATCGAACAGCGATGATGACAAGTGAAGTCTCATTCAACACTTTCCTGGTGTAATGAGATATTTTCTGGGTGAAAGTACGGCACAACAATCTTCTTCCTCAGCGCGTCGATGCAAGCCTTCACTTCATAGAGCTCCTGTCTAAGGACCACATGCATACAGAGAAACGTCAATATAACTTTTGGCCTGTTTTACCTCCGCTTCACCTCTCTCCTCCCCCCAAGAACGACTCCAAGATTTTTAAAACAAATTCTGTATAAATCATGTATAAATATATTTTAGTATATTGCATAAAATGCTGGAGTGGCTTAACTGGGGGCTACACAGACTTCTGATGAAACTATAACGACCGCTTGCCCCAGTGTAGCGCCATCGCTGATCCTGCTCTCTTTTATAATGAAGGGCTACACAAACAAACTACTGCAGACTTGACTTGAAAAGATGACCACCATGAGTGGAGCGTTGTGAGTCCTGACCTGTATTGTTCTAATGTGTTTGTCCACTTTGACTCCTTGATGCTGGTGCAGCTGCAAAAAAAAAAAAAAAAAACATACTCGAGAAGGATGAAATCCCAAAGACATCACGTCAAGCACCAAAATGGCCTCCACCTGAGACGGCCCATTGACTCCTTGATGCTGGTGCAGCTGCAAAAAAAAAAATAAAAAATACTCGAGAAGGATGAAATCCCAAAGACACCACGTCAAGCACCAAAACGGCCTCCACCTGAGACGGCCCATCATCGCGGGATCGTTGAGATTGTCCGACATCTCGATCGGAGCTTGCACGGCCTTGCTGTACAGACTGCCAATGTCCCCTGTGGACAGACACGCGGCCAATGAGACAAAGGCACATTCGATTCAGGCAAGACTCATGACTCCTTTTACCTGGGGTCCTTTGTGTAACGCTGCAGGTTTCTTTGTCTTCCTCTGTAACAGACTTAAAAGGGACAAAGTCCTATTAGCATACTTTGTCTCGGACAGCGAGTGATGAAGTATCACAAGTAGCAGTGGTGTAAGATCTATGCGAGTTTCTGTTAGCCCATCTATCATGTTTCAGATTCTATGTTAGCATCAAGCTAATGGCACCTGACTAAGCAGAATCCCAGCGTGGGCTCGCTCCCCTTCCGTCCGAGGCTCCTTGAGCATCACGTCAGCCGACCGCTGTGCCTTCTCCATCAAACTCTCAATATATTCCTACAAGGAGAAGTTTTAAAATTCATTCATTTGTCTTAATATCGGCTAAACAAGTTGCGGGTTGTCAGTACTCGCCTTCAGTCGCATGTCCACCGTGTTTCTGAGCCTTCGGCTTAATTCCCTGTGCTGGTGGAGTTCCCTTATCTCCAGGACTTTGGGGCAGTTGAGGACAGCGACAGTGTCGACGTTGCGCTTTTTCGGGCCGGTCACATGTCCCGTAGTGGTCCCAAATAAAGGAATGTGAGCCTTCTGTGATGGACAGAGGGGAGAGTCAAAGGTTGCGTTTGGCCGAGTCACAACTGAAAAAACGAAGCTGGGGCACTCAGAAGTGGAGATATCACCGTACAGGACCTCAAAACAGGAGGACCTTTGCCCACTGCGGTTCCGGAAGCTCTGAGGCAAGGCGTTACGGTCCAGCTTCACGTGCACCCACTTGGACCGCACGCTTTCGATGCCGGGCTTCAGGACGGTGACGCCAAACTCACCTGGAGGAGTCCCGGCACGATCTGTAGCAACGTCAGCCAGTACGGCATCAGACGAACAGCCGCTCACCTTGTGTGTCTGGTAGCGGGTCCTTCACCAGAGCCACAGTGGGGTCCAAGTGGGCCTGGTACAGCAGCTCTGTCACAGCTTGGCTACTCAGGAGCTCGGAACCGGAACCGTCCTCGTGC